GGCCGAGACCAGCAGCAGCATCCATATCACCTTGCAGGCGTAGGCAGGTTTGATATGCCGGCTGCCTGGCTGGCTCTTTACCAATGTTGTCTTAGACGAGCTGAGCCGGGGTTGGACAGGGTGAGAAAAAAAGCTTGGTTAAGATGAACGGGCTGATCGTGCACGGCATGGTTTGTAAGGCCGGAGCTAAACATCCTTCTAATTTACGGTAGTACGGATATCGTCCGTGGTGAGATTTTGAATGGTAGAAGCCTGGGACGCGCTTCGTTAACGACTTAGCCGCGAAGTAGGCAAATACGTGAGCGAGTCGTCCCAAACCAGCCACGAAAGCTTGTCATGGTTGTGCAATATGCCACTGCCAGCGAGTGCATGTCTTGGCTGTTCAACGTGACCGTGATCGACCCTCCAGCTTCATGACGGAAATTGGTTTTGTTGCAGACTATCCACCGGCGATGCCTTGTCCTACGAGGCCACACCGGAGACAGACCCCCTGGACCAACCGTTGTGACGGGAAATGGCCAATGAAAAAGGGTCATAGTAGAATCTCCATCCAGAAAAGATGAGCATCACGACATCGCGTTGCTGGGCTGTCTAGCGCTGACCGGCTGCGGAAGGGGACCCATGTGCTAGGTATTCGTAGTGTACGATTCCGAAGTTGAGGACGGGTTGTGGGCCCCTACCTTTGGCTCAGAGTCGTAGCAGTTGCGTGCCTATTGCAACCCTACCTAGTACCTATCTTTTCTGTCAGCCAGGTTCTTGGGGCGACAGTCTTTCTTTTTGACATTCCGTGGCCGCGGTGTTCAGGTGTACTGAGGAAGAGTCCAAGATTAGACATGGGACGAAGGGAGAGGCGCCGTCTGCCTTGAGTGATTATGTTTGTTTCTGGCGCCGTTGTGGCGCACCCGCTATCGTTTTATCACCAGCTTAAGCCCTTCCCGCTGCAAGTTGTGGTGCACCAAGTGCCACGCTTCCGGCCCTACGATGTCTCGAGAACGCCCTGCCATGGAGGAGGGCTGGTCGTGAAAATACCTTCTTCCTCCTCCCCTCGCTTCGTCCCGCCGGCAGAAGGCACAGAGTCATGTGGGTGGTGTGGTCGTCTCCGAAGGCAGGTCAGACGGGCTGAACGATCAATAGAAAACCTCCCGGCAATCGTTGACCTACCAATGTACACGACATCACCTCGTCGGCCCCGGCTCTTGACCGACATTTCCCAATAATCTGCAGATTTTCGACTTTTCTTTCTACTTGCGGGAGCAGCAAGAAGTCTCTGGCTATGGAAGGATGAAAAGATGGGCAATTCTTCCAGGATGACCCTGTGTGAGGAGGGCCACCTTGGGGCTGGCCTGAGCTTCTAGCCCCCTGTTTCTGTTGTCATAGGTATAGGTAGTCTCGCCAGACCCCGCAGCCCCCGCCAAATCGGCCAAGCCATTTGTGGCTTTACGAGGCGGAGCGTCCAATCAGTGTGCCTGGGCCCCTGGAAATAGCATCTAGGCAGCACAGAATCCCGGGATCCAACACACCCTCTCCGATCGAGCTTTCTTTCACTGTAACCTGGCTCCACTGGAGATACCTTCCCCAATCCGAGCCTACGAATAGGCGCCAAGAGAAAGAAGTGGATGACAGGTCATGAACAAGGGCAGAATCGCCGACTCGGCTGTCAGCCATCATGTTCATAAAGCCCACAGACTGTCTCGATGTGATTGTTGGACGTGCTCCCAGAGGGAATCACCCCTCCGCTCCGTTGACTCGAGACTGGCGGCTTGATCGCATTTGAATTGCAATTTCTGGCCGAAGAAAGAACCATGAGCATCACGTCGCCAACCTAGGTGTAGAAACCTCAGACGAAGTTTGATCATTTCATTTTTACCTTGGCGGAAGGGGTATTTGCCTAGTAAGCCTCTTCAGGCATCCAGTCCCTCACAAGTCGGGCAATGCGACCCTGGCCGCTTCGTGAAATGACCTCTGCTGCCTGCGTGTGAGGGATGCTCACGAATGATACAAAGTCCTGCAATGCGCTCAATCTACTTTCGCCATTGCGTCTCCCTTATAAGACATCGCCCGCCGTAGTCACGTGCTTCTCAAGCACCATTTGGCAACTTGACGGTCGACGAAGCAGAGAGCTCGTCTCGTCTTTTGGGGCGCAGGGCTCCTTTCAATTGCCAATGCGCAGTCGACAGCCTCCATCACGGCGCCAGCCCGGTTCTTCTTCGTTTACGACTCTCATCCGACAGGCAGTCTCGAGGCCTCCGTCGTGAGCTATGACCCAACAGACACAACCTACCAGGTCGCTTGCCCTACCGCAAACGAAGCATGTCAGAATGAGGGATACTATCCGGTCAACATAACCCATCACCAAGGCTCTCTCTGGGCGGGGACGAACACGGCAACTGCAGGGACGACCAAGTTTTGGAGCTGCGATCTGGGTACCGGCAGCGACGATGTTCTTTCAGATCAATATGAATGGTGTTCGGTGGGGACCACCTCGGGCAGCTCTACAATGACGGGTGCGAGAAGCCCCGTCAATACGTGCTTCGTGGAGGCACGATCGGTCGTCGTGGCTATTACCGCTGGACTGGACAAATTGGGTGCTAACAAGGGAGGTGCGCGGGAGGCATCGTATCTGTTATCGGTGGAATCAGAGAAGTGGAGGACGCAGACGTGCCAAGCCTTTCAGCAGCCCGACGCCGACCGAGTCCTCGGAGCCGACGACCTCGCTGAAGAGTCCCACCGCAGGCGTCACGGACGGCACGTCGCAGCCGGCGGAGACAGCTTCCCGAACAGCGGCGCCGTCTGAATCGGCCCCACCTAGCGGGTCTAGCCGGACATTGACGAGAGTGGCTCTCGCGTTGATTATGAGTGCGGTTGTTGCTGCGGTACTTCTTTGAGCCGTTGCGAGGCTTGTCTCGCAGCAACTGGACTGATGCTTACCCCGCGAAACTCGTCGAGGTTTCCGAGGAACGTGTCAACGACTGTGCGTTCGGTCGAGATGGGAGGGAAGATTTTTGGTTACCCCGCGTGTTCGGTGCGTGGGCGAGAGTGTGTTCCTGGGCAGGGCCGTGTACGTACGTCCAGCAGCAGCAGCAGCAGCAGCAGCGGTCATTGGCATTGCAATGGCAGCGAGCGACGCGGAGACGTTACTGGATCAGGGATTAAGCTTCATCGTGTTCCCTTCCCCAGTTTCATGGGCTCTTGAAACTATGCCGCCCGCCGCGCTTCGCTAGAGTTGACGAACGCGTATGCCCCCATTGGCAAATCTCAAATCATTTCGCAAGTGATGATTGGCCTGGAAACTCACACGGGCTGAGGGCAAGTGCCTGGTCGGGGGTGACGAAGGTAAAGTGTCCATCCACTGGCCTCGGATCTGGCTTGAAGTCTACCATTTCCGCAACCTGCCTACGATGCAGTACAATGTGGTTGGCAAGGTTGCGAGACCGATTGGCATCCGCAAGGCAAGGACAGGTAGGTGGTCCAGGCGAAAGCTCTTCAGGTATCCGTAGGACGGACATGAAAGTGGCAGGGTGGTAAACCTCGGCTGCGATGACATGCACAAGTGAAAGCTGTTCAGGGCAAGGTTGCATGCGGTGTGGGCCTCGAACGCTGAGGTCAAGCGAGCGACGGCCTGCGAATGGCAAGAGATGGTGAGGTGCAGCGTTCGGGGATTTTCTCACCCTGGACCATGAGGATGACGGGAGGCTTATGAAGGAGGGCACTCAAGAGTGCGTCCAGTTGGGCGTCATCTGTCTCTTCTTTCATTCCTCTGACGGCATCTACATTACTCAAGGCACCTGAGGTAGGCACCTCGACTAAGTACCTATCTCAACCAAGTAAGGTACCTACCTAGGTACGTAACCTGGAAGGCAGTGGGCCAACAGTGGCGTCTGATACTGGCGCAAGCAGGTCGCAGCTACCCGACCCACATAGGTACCTTACATACCTAGGTATACCTACCTGGGCACCCAAGGTACCAGAAATAGGCCCGTTCCCGTGTCGAGAGGATGGACCCGACTGGCACAGGCCAGAGCAGGTGCAAAACACCCAATGGCAAGCACCACCCAGCAGCTCCGGGTTGCGTTCCGATGAGGTCGGGTGGCGTAAGGTCCAGGGTGTGAGCAAGCAGAGCACCAGACGCAGGACACTCACTAAACAGGAGCAGCAGCATGGAGCAGCAGTATGGAGCAGGAGCAGGAGCAGGAGCACGACCGGGAGAACCTTCAATCAATTCACTTTCCATTCCAGTCCACTTGGTTTTTCTAGTTGCCCTTTTTTTCTTTCTCTCCCACGCCCACTCACTCGCCTCACTCGCTCGCTGCACTCTCTGCTCTGCTCTGCACCACCCGACCTCGACCGGGCCTCATCTTTGCTTATTCTCCCAGCTCCCGCCTCACCATCTGGCCACTCAACACGCGAGCTCGCCTTCGCCCAGTCCGGAGCCATTGGTCGGCCCACGACGTTGCCCCGAAGCCCAGCGTGAGCGATGCGACAAGCCATGTTTCCTCGGCCGCAAATTGAATAATGCACGGCGTACCACTCTCAGCGCCCGTCGGCAACCAGCCTTTCGTCTTGCTTTTCACATCTTGATCCTTTCTCCCAGCCTCTGCCCGCCTGCTCTGCTCTGCTCTGCTCTGCGCTGCCCTGCCCTGCCCTGCTCTGCTCCGCGCTGCTCGACCACCACCTCGTCAACCACGACCGACAAACCATCGTCGTCCGCCGTCGTCACGACTTGCCATCGTCGGCGTAGCCCGCCTCAATAGGCGACCTCATGTAACTTGATACCGAACGGCATCAACCAAGACGACGCCAACGACAGGACCTGTTCATCTTTCAACCTTTGGCCATTCGAGCTCCCGGCCGACCCCCCAGCTCCGGGGTCATCCACCGCCTCACGCTCGTTATCGTACCCGTATCCCCTGCGCTCCCTCCGTTCCCCCACCAATCCGCTGCTTCGTCCTATCTTTCTCAACCCCTCCGCGCCCATCCAAGCTCTATCGCAACTACCCGCCATGCCTACCTATCTCTGTCACGGCTTTCGTTGGGACCGCCGAAGTATTCGAGTTTTTGTCGTTGTCCAAAATATCGATGATGCCGCCCCGGAATGGATCATAGCGCCAAACTCTTCTCCCGCTATTCTCGAATCCTTCTACTCCCTCTTCGATTTTCTCCCCGAACCACCTCCCGAAGATACCGAAGCCCAACGAGAAAAGAAGAAGCGGAATAAGTCCAAGCCTCTCAAAGCTGGTGTTCTCAGGAACGAATATGATGTGCCACCCTCAACTGTGCCTCCCGAGGAGGACGATGTGTTGCAGAACAGCTGGAGTGCCGTGAAGCTGCTCGAAGAATACGACCCGACAGATTTGAGCTACGTCAGCCGCCCCTACGCCTACGTCGCCGACCATGTCGTGCGCATCGATTTGAGTAACTCAATCGCGGAGGAGATCATGCGCTATGAAGAGCGGTTGGGCGAGACAAAGGCCATGGCCAGCACCCCGAGTGATGAGTTTTACAAGGCCAAGAAGGGCTCGACATCGGGGAAAAAGGCAGGGTGGTTTGAGAAGCTGAGGGATCAGCTGCAACGTGGTGAAGATATCCGATGGTATGTCGTGGTCTGTGGTGACGAGGTGCGCGACTTCCCCGAAGATATGGGTGCAGCCAAGGAGCAAGCGAGGGAGGACGACCCACGGGATGCAGAAAGCGAGACTCCGAGGGGTCGCGATAGGAGTGCAGGCCCATCTTCGAGACCGGCAGCCTCGCCCAAGGAGTACATATCAAGCGTACCGGCCAGCCAATTCGCGTCGGCAATGTCCCCGCAGCAATTACAAGTCTCGCCAAAGGAGGCGGGACTGCCCTATGGCACCCTTTTCCAGCACCCCAACATGAACACGGGGGAAACGCCAGCACTATTACAAACGAAGCCATCTATGGACTTTAGGCCCAAGACGCCCAAGGGTGGTGGCTTCAGGAGGCTCTTTGGGAAAAAAGACGAGCCATGAAAGCCCTTAGTCTACGGAGCGCATCGGGGAAGGCTTGTTATCATGTGCGTGTAATCGTTGCATTTGCTGTTCTGGCCCGAACACCACGCAACATCGACCTCATGATATCCCCAATTCTGGCCGAGCAAACTCTACGGAAGGGAGCATTATCACAAAGCGACGGCGAATAATAAAAGATTTGTTTACATTCAAAAGAAAATGATGGAAACCTGTCATGATTTATTACCGCCTTGATCGTCGTCCTCCCTCAGTCCACTAACTGCAGCCGCAATGAGCGCCCCCTGCAACCCCAGCTTTCCGCGTTGCGATGGCAGGGGTTGGCTTGCTACGTCATTGGCCGAGGCCTCTCACCTGAGCTGTATGGCTGTTCCAGGTATTTTAGCAGGAACGCGCCCAGCTCGCTCCTTCGAGACACCAACATGGACTAAAGCCATCCCCAACGCCCATTTTCCCCATGCGATTGTGCGGCTACCTACACTGCTTGCGTCGTGCGAATTGGTGCACGAGTCGGCCAGCTGCAGCCTTTCCTGTTTCCATGGTTTAATTAACAGTTCCTCTCCGTCACGGACCGTGACCACCTTGCGGTCTCGCACACGTCGATACGTATGATATCTCATCATGGCCCAATTCTCGAGGCTTCGCGTCCCTGACGCCTCCTCGAGGGCCGGCGAAACGTCGCCGTCTCCATCGGTCGCCCAAACAACAGCCGAATTCGACTTGGACAGCAATTTCGAGCTCGACGATGCGGAAGGGGATTTGCAATTCCGTGAGGCAGAGCTCGGCGGAGGCCAGGCCTATGAGCTCAAGAGCTTGGTAAACCCAGCAGGAAAGAAGGACGATGGAGGCGAAGACGACTCGTTTTCTTCACGGAGACGGATGAGCGACAGCACCGTTTCAAGCTTTCAACTATACACCCCAGATGAGGAATGCGCAGTTGTTCGCAAATTCGATAGGCGGTTGGTTCTGTTCGTGGCGCTTCTGTTCATGCTGAGCTTTCTGGATCGGTCAAGTTTGTTTACCATTGCAACACCTCTAGCCATGTTGATGCTGATCAAATGTCGCACACAGATATCGGCAACGCGCGCATTGCAGGCATGGATGAGGATCTTCAATCGCAGCCGCCTTGGGATGGATGGTACGAATGGACGCTGACAGCCTTCTACATCGCGTACATCGCCTTCGAATGGATGTCGTTATTGTGGAAGCTTATTCCGGCACATATATATGTCTCCATGATTGTCTTATCATGGGGCTTGACCGCTGCGCTCCAGTCAGTCGCCGTGTCCTATCCAATGCTCATCTTTTTCCGCGTTCTGCTGGGAATTGGAGAAGCAGGGTTCACTGGGATTCCGTTCTATTTGTCCTTCTTTTTCAAGAGGGAGGAACTTGCGTTCCGTACTGCTATCTTCATATCAGGTTCGTCTGACTCGACAACGCCCTCCGCCTCAAGGCACTGACTATGTGTAGCTGCGCCGCTAGCGACAACCTTTGCGTCTTCACTGGCCTGGCTGATCATCAATTTCGCTGAATATGGCCCAATTGCTCCGTGGCGCCTACTTTTTCTAGTCGAGGGGTTCCCCTCCGTCCTGGTAGCTGTAGCTGCCTGGCACATTATCCCGGACACTCCGGAGACGGCACCGTATCTCACGGCACGAGAACGCAAAGTGGCACGACTCCGACTTCGACATCAGAAACCGCATCAGACACGTGGCGAAAAGAAGGACCCTGGTCTGAAGCTTCGCGAAGTGGTTGTCATCCTCTGCGATCCAATGGCCTGGTTGACGGCTGCAATGCTCTTTCTAACCAACATGGCGTACTCTTCCCTGCCCGTGTTCCTGCCTAAGATTCTTCACGAGATGGGTCACTCCCGCTTGGAATCACAGGGGCTTAGTGTACCTCCTTATTTTCTGGCCTTCCTCTTTGTTTTGCTGACGGCACACTTGTCCGACCGATTTCAGATTCGATCGGGCCCAATAATCTTCCACGCTCTCGCATCGGCGGCTGGATATGCCGCCTTGGCATTTTCAGAGCCATTCGGCCTGCCTCCGCCGCTGCGCTACCTGGCTGTGTATCCCGCTGCGATAGGATTCTTCAACGTGGTGACACTCACCATCGCATGGAGCATCAATAACCAGCCCTCCGAAAGTAGGCAAGGGGGTGGATTCGCCTTGATGCAATTCATTGGGCAATGTGGACCAATCGTGGGGACGAGGTTGTATCCGGATCGAGATGCACCCTTCTATGCGCCTGGCATGCGAACCTGCGCATGCGCGATGCTCGCTGTAGCTGTTCTCGCGCTCATCCTAAGATTTTACCTCGGCTTCTTGAACCGAAAGATAGACGCATCAACCGCAGACAGCGTTGATGTGGAAGAAGAACAAGGCCTCGTCGGTTCTGTTGGGCGTTCAAAGACAGTGAATGAAAACTTGAGATACATGCTTTGATAGCCTGGAAAACATTATCGTCGGACAACTTAGATTCTGAGTAGGGGGTTTTATCTCTCCCGACATGGTGTTAGAACGCGTCATTTAGGGTGCCAATGAAGATCAGCGCAGACGTTTCCACATCTGTGGACAGTTGCTACGCCTCATCCAAACTGTTGGAGCCAAGGTCCCAAGTCGACATGAACACCCCGTGCACGGGCCAGTTACCCAGTTCAGACCCCAGGCGATATGTGTGGAGATGGATCTGATTAGACCTCGGCCCCATTCATCTACCGTCACTCGGTATCCGAACGCCGGAGGTGGACTTCTCACAGCCCCATCCTCAATTCAGTCTGCCATCGATCTCAGGGTGAAAAGGAGCCATTATCACTCATTTAGTGAGGCGCGACCGTGTGTCATGTTATTATTCAAGAAATACATCAATTCCATCAAGATCCGGCCCATCACCCACAGCTTGGCAGCAATCCCGTCTCACCGGTCACCAGCCGCGGCGGCAAAAACAATAACAACCACAGCAACCATGAAGTCGGAAAATCCAGACGCTAAGCACTTCCTCTCGATCCCATGGGCCGCGGCGCATATCGATGCGCCGGGGACGGTCCGCGAGACGGCGTCGTCGCGGTTCCCGAAGCAGGACACTGAAGACGAGCTCTTTTCGACAACGCTGCACACCGACAAGACCATCGCGGCGTTCCTAACGCTGTACAAGCGGCCATCCGCTGCTTCTGGGGAGAACATGATTCGCGAGGTCAAGGCATTGCTGACCCTGCGGCACGGGGTCAACGGGTACCCCAATGTCTCTCACGGGGGGGTCGTGGCTACGATTCTGGACGAGGTTATCGGGCTGGTGTTCCCGGTAAACAAGATCAACGGGCTGATCCCAGACGGGGCGTACATGACGGCGTATCTCAATACGCAGTACGTCAGGCCCGTTCAGACGCCGCAGAACATCTTGGTGGTGGCTACGGTGAAAAAGGTCGAAGGGCGCAAGTACTGGATCGAGGGCGTGATCGAGGACAAGGACGGCCAGGTCTTGGCCAAGGCGGAGTCATTGTATGTCAAGGTTAAGGAGAAGCTGTGAGTGACGAGAAGGGTGGTGCGCAGAGGGAAGCTGCAGCTTGCCGTAAGTATCTAGATATTTGGTTTTTGTATAGAGTAGACATCGGAAGGCCGGTATTGTTTTGAGTAGATGTGATGAATGTGAAAGGACGGTCCAATTCGGCATTAGAGTCTGGAGAGAAGCAAAAGTAAACGGTAGATATCGAGGATGAGAAGATGTCCCAGGTGGCGCTGATGACAAGCATGATGCGTGATCAATGGGACCGCGTGCAGCGACAACGGTAAATTGAGATGACCACCTAACGTTTAAATGAAGTCCCTTTTTTTTTTCTCTCTCTTTTTGAGAAAGAAGGGTCGGGCTTCATGAAGCGGGAGACTTGTATTTGCTCAAGAGACGCACAGGGAGCATCCGCCCCACCACCTAAAATGGTTCGTTCTGACCAAAATACCATGCCGCCATCACCACCTCTGGAACTCACATCGACATAATTTTACAACCCTAAAAGTATCAAAAAAAAAAAAAAAAAAAAAAAAAAAAAAAAGGGAAGCAAAACGAAGAAAAGGCAAAAGTTTAACAACGCGCTGCGATAGCGCGCCACCTCGAGCTTGTTGAGAACACACAAGTCAATAGAGACTCGAACTTGGTGGTATTTATACGGCCTCTATCTGAGCACGCCAACTGTGCTTTTACCGACTGAGCCAAAGGCTCGCATCAATGCCCAACTTGTGATGGGAGCTCTCCTTTTTTTTTTAGGGGGCATATACCTTTGCACGAATGTTCCAGCAGGGTGTGAGGGTTGAGTTGGGAAGGCACCTGAGGTTCGTGGTTGCCTTCGCTGTCCGGGTTGCTGGGACCACGGATCAGCAACCTACCTTATCAATGACCCCAAAGGGTGGACCCATAAACACTGTCGATACTTGCTGGGCCAGATGCCTCCTGATTTTACAGCCTAGCTTACGAGGTTCCTGTTTTCCTCTTGTGCAGAGTTTTCCGGCCAACGTGCTGATAATACTTGTTTACCTACTCTCCTGCAAGGGAAGATGAGGCTTCCGGCGATAATGAATCAGTGGAAAGCACGTGAACTAGAAGCTTACCTCGCTAATTAAGGAGTCGGTTTCTAACACTTGATACGTCTTTCGAAATGGAGCTGCAAAACGCTTCGCGCCGCATTTTCATGTCAGCCAGTTTGGATGCCAGGCGTCCCTACGACACCCGCCGAGTCAGGGCGTCGAGTATACGGGGTATAAAGTAGTGCTGAAGAAATTTATTACAGCAAATGAAGCAGAGTAGAAGAGACCTGTCTAGGTGCCGTTAATGTTGGCCGATATCGTAGACGTGGAGAGTGAGGTGAAGTCTGCAGAATACGTCCTGCGGCTCCAACGACGAGACGTTGACTGACCAAAGCGGGTCACCACGCTAGACCTATTTGGGACCCGATTTTTGGGACTTCGCCCCGGATCCACCTAAAATTTCATCCTTCATCTTCAATTACATCCGCCATCTCACTCTCGCGTTTCCGGATTTCAACATAGGGATTCGCAGAGCCTTTTGGTACTGACTCGGACCAAATCTCAATTTACAGACGCTCAGACGAATCGCGAGACAAATCCACTCACCGAAGCAGAAAGGCGGCGCACTCGTATCTCGTCGGCCGCCGAGATCATCTCTCACCAACGCCGAACACACACACACACACGCCCTCTCTTCCCGGAAAATGGCTCCTAAGCGCGCCGCCGAGGGCGCAGCATCCTCGAATGCATTCAAGAAGCCTCGCAAGGGTTTCCGAGTTGGCCCAGAGAACCTGCCCGAGGGGCCCTGGCGTAGAAAGGGTGGGTTTCCCGTCTGCTGAACACAGCAATCTCAGTCGCTAACAGGCCTCACAGTCGAAAAGAAGAAGGCAGAACTCATCCACAAGGCCAAGATCAAGAAGCAATACGCCAAGATCAAAGAGAGGGAGCTCGCTGCTCAATCGTCATCCAAGAAGCAGCAGCAGCAGCAGCAGCAGCAGCAGCAGCAGCAGCAGCAGCAGCTTGCCGACTCTAGCGACGATGAGGACGAACCCATGAATGAGCCACAGACATCAGAGGCACCTCAAGTGGACTCCACGTCACCAGAACTCGAACAATCTGAAGAAAAGCCGACGCCATCAGGCCCCGACCCCTCAGAAGTCCACCCGACCCGCTCAGACCTGATTGCCAACGACGGCGAGCTACCCAACCCAAACACCATCGCCGTCAAGCGCAAGCACGGCAAAGGAGAAGACGAAAACGACCATGATGCAGACGGCAAGGACGGCGAGGACGACGCGGGCGTCGACCGTTATGAGCCGCGCAAGCCCCGCCGCCCTCGCAAGCCAGGTTACTACGAGAAACAGCTGGAGCACGCCGAGAAACGCAAGGCCGAGGCCGAGGCCCGTCGCGCCGAGATCCAGCGTCGTCGCGAGGAGCGCGAGCGCAAGGTCGCCGATCGTGAGAGGTTCCGTCGCGCCATGGCCAAGGCCCGCAAGGGCAGCGAGAACGGTCAACGGAAGCTTGGCCGGGAGAGCTCGTTATTGCTAGAGAAGGTGAAGCGCATGGTTGGCAACTCCAAGTGAGCAAGTGCCTGGAAGCGCATACAGTACGGCGGCGTAAATTTCTTTTTCAATTGCCTACACAGTTTGATACCACACGTCACATATTATATGGTTGCAGGCATTGAGGGGTTTAAAACTTCGGTTCTTTTTTTTTTCTTCTGCTTTTGGTTCTTTTTTTCTCCTCAGAAAATGAGATGGCTAAACCATCCGGTTGATATTTGCAACGGTACTGCTTCAAATGCCCTTGTTCCGCAATGTCACCCCTCCTGTGTGCAGCTATCATGCCTCCCGTCAGCCATCCTCATGCTTCGTCATCCACCATGCGTCATCGTCTGCACCACCCCTTCGACAGCTCGCTTAAAAAAAATAAAAATAAAAAACACCGCCGCAAATGAAGTCATGCTCAGCACTCGGAAGCCAACGAGTGAGAGTTAAAAGTGCGCTCGCAACGAATGTAAACATGTCCCGCCGGTTCTTATTCCCAAACCCGCCGTTGAGAAACAAGAAACTCCTTCCGTGCCCCGAGGCAAGAAATGTGGATATCATTAAAGCTTCCTAGCATGGAACGCCCCTTTTTCTGCAGTCGTGGCAACGGTCAACTGAAAAAACGGAAATCCAAAGGTGAAAAGTCAAAGGCCGTCAGCGATGGGCAGGTCGTCTCCGAGCTAGGAATGGTAAAAGAAAAGCGGTCGAAGGCGTAAGGTCGTGGGGGTGTGGATATATACAAGTTTTCTTTTTTCCAACACGGCAATAGTCCATCCAAGGCCAACTGTTTAATCGATGAAGATGGCATGGGTGTTCTCAATGACGAACTGCACAGCCAAGTTCTTGGCGTGCATGTCTGTCATCTCTCGCTCGAGGCTGGTGTCTCTCATGATTGTCGGAGCGAACACAACCGCCAGGTTTTTGGGAGACATCTAAGCCGCCGGTTAGCTACACCACGCACTAAGCCATTGTGAAGAAGACAAACCAAATTCTCGGGCTCTCTTTGAGCCACCCGCGCAAGATGAAACATGAGGAACTCAAGGCAGTCGCGGTGACGCTCTGGCATGGAACCGAACACGTTGCGAAGGTGATCGCAGCGCTCAGTCTTATCCGTGATGGCTGAGAAGAGATTGTCAGTACTTGGGGTCGATTTGCTTCGGGAACAAACCTACCATTGGACTCAAGCACCCTGTCGTAGATATCAAACGTCAACAGCGGGATTGGAAGCTTCCTGAAGTATTGCTTCAACACACTTGTCACTGCCGTGATATCGAGGCCGGGGTCCGAGATGTCGTAATCCTCGCTCTTGTCAAACCCTTCCTGAATCATCTTCACCTGAGAGTTGCCACCCGTCTTTCGATAGATACCCTCAATGTCCATACCACGGAGCTCTACCTCCTCGATACATCGAGTGACAACGCTGGGAATTGTGCGGCGCTCGAAGTCGGCTCTCTCAACAAGGTCAGAGCCGAACAAAGTAGAAGGTGCCTCGGCAATTGCGGGTGTTGCCACATTTGTTGTAGACATCGACTTGCCGGCAGCCTTCTTTCCGAAGAAACCAAAGCTTTGTTGCGAAGGTGCACCTTTCTGGGCGTTGTTCGGAAGCTGAGTACTCGGAGCTTCGACTTGAGATACAGTCATGTTGTATGGCAAGCCGATATTGTCGCCTGTAAGCCCTGGCTGGTGTATGCCACGCTCACGATCATTCTGGAATGCGACGACGGCTCGGTTGACACCCTTGGCCACGTTCTGCGCCATGCTCTTGCCTCCCTTTTTCCAGTTGAACTTCTTGACCTGGCCCTTGCGAATATCAACAACCGTTGGCCTGGCCTCCACAACAGGCTCCTCTGTCTCGTGGACAAGTGTAGTGGTCATGCTGGCAGAGTCCGCCAAATTCAAATTAGATGAAGAGAACACCTTGCTTTGACTGTAGATGCCTAGACCGTTGGGTGACTTGAGTTCGCCCCCGATTTGAGACTTGAAGCGTTCTTGGATCTGGTGGGTGAGATCGTTATTCATGTCGGCGAGCTGGGCGTTCTTGGATGAGAGCTGCTCAAACTCGAGCAGAGCACGATCCCTGTCGGCGATAGCCTGGTTCTTTTCGTCGATCAACTCGTCACGCTCGGCGTGAAGCTGCTCGATAGCGGCGCTCATGGTCTGCTTGACCTTATCAAGCTTCTGCACGAACTCTTTGATCGCGGAGTCCTCGAGATCGCGGGGATCCACAGGCTTCTTCGTTTCCTTCGCACGTTCGACGTATCCAGCCAGTACCTCCAACTGCCTGATCATAATCTCAGTCTGGGTGTCCAATACCGAGACGGTCTTGCGCTTCTCGATTAGGGTCTTGTTCAGTCGCTTCAGGTCCTTCTCAGATGTGAACTGTCTCTCAAGCTCGGCCACGCGGTTTTCCGAGTTTCGCAGCTGCCGCTTAAGCAGAGCTGGATCGTCGCTTGAGTGAAGCGAGATGGGACTGCTGATTATCTCGTGGTTCGATGGATCCTCGGCGATGGGCGTCTTTGGCCAGCGAGGGGATGGTGTACCACGGGTGGTCTCGCTAATACTCCTTGTGTGGCCGGTAACTCTGTGAGGGTGCTGAGGCATTTGAGGGTGACTGGATTCGGTGCTGTTGGTGCGACCATGACGAACGGCGTTTGACACACGACGAAGTATCGATGAAGAACCTTCGTCAGTGCCCAGGATCCTAGCCATGTCCTCGTCCATACTGAAGTCGCCACCTGCACTCCATCTCGGTAGCTTGGGCGAAATCTTCTCTTCGCTTGACGCATTCGCCTGATCCTTTGCGGGAGGTTTGGGGGTTTTCGCGGGAGCTCCAGGCGGTTGCGGGGGTGCTCGGGGCTGCATGTAGGTGTCGCTGAGCTTGTGCTCAGTCATATTCGGGCGCGCGGCAGCGGAAAGTCCCGATGAGCTTGTCTCATCATATGTGTTGGATCGCCCAGCAGGGCCGACGGTCTTGCCGTTAGCTGTAGAGAGAGAGAAAGTTAGAGTCAGTGCGTCCTGCATCGATATAAAACATGGGTTCGAGAGCATACCGTTGCGGGTGGGCAATTCCTTTCTGGTGATGGACTTGGCCGTCACGTCTGTTCGAGATGAAGAGATGGAGTCCATGGAGGGTCGCACATCGCCTTCATCTCGCTGTCTCGAGTCCTGGGACGATCTCGGGGTTCCGTTACCCATGCGGGGAGGAGAATCAGACGAAGGCAAGCTCGGGAATGGCTCCTTGTCTTTGCGCAGAACACCGTCACTGCTCTTGGCACTTCCGCTTTCAGGGGTCATGGCGGCGGAATGCGATGCGCTTCTTGGACTGATCAACTTCTTACTCTTGGGCGCATCCTGCAACTTGAACTCATCGATAGATGGCGACAGCTTGCCGGCGGTCACCTTTTGTGTCCTCTCGTCGTTGCTGACTGATGCGCGAGGGTCTCTCGACGACTTGGATGTTTTCCGCAGCGGCAGCTTGACCGATCCCGACTCGTAGTCGGATGAAGTCTGACGACCCTTCTCTTGGAAAGCAATGTGCGGCGTTGAAGCCGAGGAATCGTTCTTTTTGTCGGTGCTAGCTCGAGGCACGCTGTTGAAATAATCCTTGTCTTTCTTGGAAGCGCATGGCAAGTTTTCCGACGTCGAACGTGGGGCAGTATTCGAAATCGGTGACGGATCCAGAGCCACCGGGATGAAAAAGCCATCATCGCCACCGTTGGTGTCGCCGGCGTGATTGTTTGGGGCAACGATTGTCGAATTGCGATTGTTGCGGTAGTTGGATGGGGGCAAAGACAGCCCGTCCTTAGTATTTTCTGAAGGGCGCTCAGGGGAGCGCGATGGTCGGCTGCTGTTCTTGGACGACGAATCGTTTCTGCTGTAGGCGGGGCGGGGTCGAGGTGACAATTCAGTCGGTGTATCAGAATCAGGGTCGACTCGAGTGTCGGAAAAGGCATTTGGAGGTATGGCGTTGGGCGGAAGGGCGGGCAAGGACTTGTCGGTTATCATAGGAGACCCGTCCTTCTCCCGCGACTTGGCCTGGGCTGCTGCTTTTGATTTTTTCCTTCGTCTTGCCATGAGCGACTCGTGGCAGCTCATGCAGAAGATCCCCTGGGAGGTTCGCGCGTATCGCAGGTTCTCAATCTTTCTCTTACAGTTGCGACACCGGAAGCACGTCGCGCAGAACGCTTGGTCACCAGTGAGGATGGCGAGGTCTTCGATCTTGTTTCCGCAAGCACTGCAGCTGTATGTGCAGTTGTTGCAGATGAGCGACCCATCGCCGAGCAGGAGGAGGTTCGCGTCGGAGTCGAGGAGAGTGCCGCAGGTATTGCAGCGGAAGCAGTTGAGATGCCATCGGTTGCCGGCTGCATCGGGAGGAGACTCATTAGCATTGTTGAACTTGGAGACTGCCGGTGACATGGCCATGGGGGATATCATAGCGATATTCGCAAGACAGTAGACGACGCCGAGCGGACAGCATGCAACTGAGTAGGGCAGGTAGAGGAAAGCGAGGGGGAAAAGAAGCAGCTGAGCAGACATACCAAGTTCGAACGCTTTGCCCTCTTCTAGGATCTAGTCGGGTAGGGCACCGCCATCAGTACGTGCTCGCAGACGGGCAGAAGTTAATGGGGGTGGGCCATCATACCTCTCCGCAGCCTTTGCAAGGGAAGACGTCGTCAGCGTCCATGGGGCTCTCCAAGTAGTCCTCCATGACGGCAGCCATGACGGGCAATTCGTCCTCGTAACGGGACGTTGTCACGACAAATTTCTAACAGATGGGATGGGATTTTTCGAGGATCATGAACGTTGCGTCGGCAGCAGGATGGTCGGTGAGCAAATGATCGACCGAGAAAAGTCGTATCATGGGACGACGAAGAGGGAAGGGGTGGCAGGCTGTGCGGCTCGTGCCAGGAGCTCGGCAGAGGGAGCGTATACGTCGGGAGAGTAGCGTCGAATGGATGGCGCTCGGTGAGGTGCTCGGGGTCGCGATGGTAGCCAGCCCACACAGAGGGATGAAAAGCAGGAGATGGAACCAGGGC